GGCAGCCCGACGCACTGGGAAGTGTTTCTGAGTGAAACAGGCTTTCCTGAACCAGGGAAGGTCACAGAGGATGGGGCCCTAGAAGGCCTGTCACCAGAGTGCCCACGAGCACAAAAGGGGTAGCACAGGGCATCCTCGATCTTCCACCTGAGTGCGTCCATGGTTCTGCAACTGGGAAAACAGAATGCAGCAAAACTGCTCTGTATGAGGCTTCAGGCCTGGGCCCTCTGCTGTACCCGGGGCTCTGGGGGTTGGCATGGAGAGGAGACCCCTCCCTCCCAGGCACAGGGCAGGTGCCGGTGGACCGGGAGTCTTGCTGTGCCTTTCCGCAGGTAGGTACACCAGCCAGCGTGTCCTCTCCTTCCTGACTCTGAGGCCTGGCGTGGGAGTCAGCTTCCCCCACCCTTGTGCTGTTTGCAGCCGACGCAGTTCAGCAGCGAGCAGGGGGGCGGAGTGAGTGTGCAACACAACCTGGGGCTGCTGGCTGTCTCTCCAGCCTGTGCCCTCTGAGACCAAGGCTCGGGGTTACTGTCATGCCGGCTTTCTGCCAAGGTTACTGATGGCTCCCGCACGTTCACTGCGGAGCAGCGGATGTTTACTTGGAGGGAAGCAAGTGGCGTTTCCAGGAGCTGCAGGCAGTCTCTTGTGAACCCATCTGTGTGCTCTGCAGACCTGCGCACTGTGGCGGAAGGGCCACATCCGTCGCCTTTCCATGGTCCTGGATCATAGGAAGTGTGGGCATTCGTGGAGCATCACGTGGCCCTGAGCTAACTGAGGCATCTGCGTCCTGGCTCCACACGACTCTCTCGAGTTGGCCATGGAAAAGGAGGGCTAGGGCCGCAGCAGCTCTGGCTTTCCAGCTGGCGGGTGGGTCTGAGATGGGACTGGTCCTGCAGCGAGGGCAGACCACCGCCCCAGGGTCACCGCCACCGGGCTGGCAGTTTCTAGGACTCAAGTGGCTTTGGCCTACAGGGATGCAGAACCCAGTCCGTCTTTTCAACATTTATGGAGCATGCCCGTGTGCCTGGGATGGTTTGGGGCTCCGGGTAAACAGAGATGTGTCAGATCTGCAGAGTTCACACGCTGGTGGAGAGACACGTGTTACTGGATGGTACCAGAATTCCATGGCAAAAACACAGCACTTGGGGCCAGTAGATGGTGTGGTAGTTAAGGTGCTGGAGTCCCACATGGGTGACCACAGTTCAAGTCCCAGACCTGGCAGCTTGCTTTCTCTGTGTGTGTGTCTCTCTCTGATCAAATTAAAAGGTAAATAAATACAGGGACCAGCACCTGGCGTAATGGCTATGTCGCTGGACTCCCATGTAGTCAACTGCAGTTCAAGTACCAGACCCGGTGGCTTAAACTCATACCAGGCACGTGTGCGTGAGTGCCCACGATCCTGAGGGGAGAAGGGAGAAGGGATTGTGGTGTGGCCATCCTTCCCGGGGGGTGATTTCTCACTTTGTGTCTCTGTCTCTCTCTGTCTTTCCGGTGAGCGCACATGCCCAATAGCAAAAACCTCTCCACAAAATAAAAAATAAATACATAAATAAAGTTAAATAAATAATCTTTTCTTTAGAGGTTTTTGCTATAGGACGCATGTGCTTGCCAGACAGACAGAGAGAGACAGAGAGACAGAAAGCGAGAAATCACTTTAAGCCACCGGGTCCGGGACGCGAACCGCAGTCGACTACATGGGAATCCAGCGACATAGCCATTACACTAACTGCTGATCCCAATAAATAATTCTTAAAATAAAAAAAAAAAGAAAGAAAAGAAAACAGCCGTCTGGACTCAGAGATACAGGACACTCCTATGTCTGTGTCCTGAGTGGAAAGTGGAGGCAGGGGCAGCACAGGCCAAAACAGCTTCCTGCAGGCTGACTTCTTAACAGAAAGTTGGGGGGCCGGCGGGTAGCATGGTCGTTAAGGGCACTGGACTCCCACATGTCCGACTGCAGTTCGAGTCCTAGACCTGCCAGCTTTCTCTCTCTCTCTCTCTCTCTCAGTCTCTTGGTCCCCCCAGAGGAGATAGCCACACCAAAATCCCTTCTTCATTCTCCTTGTGTCATTTGGGGCATAAACACACATGTGCCTGGCATGAAGTTCAGGCTGCCAGGTCTGGGACTCGAACCATGGTCAGCCATGTGGTATTCCAGCACCTTAACCACTACATCACCTGCTGGCCCCAGATTTAAGCTTTTTGACCTCCTTCCCTCCTGCTGTTTTCAAGGTTTTTTAAGACAGAGCTCAAGCATATTTGCTGATTCAGGAAAGTGTGTGAGTAGGAGGGAGTGGGTAAGAGGGCCTCCTGGCCTGAAGTCAGCATCCACCCTGACTCAGCACCCGCTCTCCGTGTAAAACTGCACGTCTCTTCCAGTTCACATCCCTTTCTTCCAAGCCCTTTCCACAGCCTTTCCTGGCGGAGTGGCTGCAGCACGGAGCAGTCACCATCAGGCTCGGAAAGGTGCAGTTAGTCCGGAGAGTTTCTCTTCAGATTAAAAAGTCTTTTGCCTCCAGGGCTGGCGGGTTATGTGGTGTGAAGGCACTGGACATTTCCACATGGCCAACCACGGTTCAAGTCCTGGACCTGGTAGCTTGCTTTCTCACTTTTCTTCTCTCCGTGTGTCTGTCTCACATCTCACTTTCTGTGTGTCTCCAGCAAGCACACGTGCCCGATAGCATGAATCTCTTAAAAATAAATACATTTTAAAAAGCCTAAATCCTGCAAGCCCATGGCCTGGTGGTTAAGGCAGCAAGATCCCACATGAGTGGCTGCCCAGTTCAAGTCCCAGACCCAGTGGCTTGAGAAACACACTTGTGTATGCGTGCCCAAAATCCTGATAGGAGGATGGAGAAGGGATTGCACATGGCCACACTCTATTGGAGGGCTCGCTCTCTCGCTCTCGCTCTCGCTCTCTCTCTCTCTCTCTCTCTCTATCTCTCTCTCTCTCTCTCTGATGATCATACATGCTCTCTGGCAAATAAAAACAATTGGTCGCCAACTCATAAATATTCTTCTCCGTGGAAATTCCTAGGAAAAGGCAAGAGGCCACTGTGAAGAGAAGCCAGGGCACACCTGTTTTGTCTTCCCAGACGCCCGCTCGTCCTGCAGCGTGCGTGGTACCTTTGCACCTGCCGACAGAACTTCTTCCAGTGTAGAGAACTGTCCCACACAGATTCTCACCGCGTAAAATCTCCTGACAAAGGGCCCAGCAGGTGGCATGGGGATTAGGTGCTGGATCCTATATGGCCGGTTTTGCAGTTCGAGTCCCAGACCCAGTGGCTTGAAAAATATGCAGTATAACCACCCCTGCTGGCGTGGTGGTTAAGGTGCTGGACTCCCACATGGCCGTTTATAGTTCAAGTCCTGGACCTCATGATTTCCTTTTCACTTTCTGGTCAAATTTAAACAAACAAACAAAAAGAGTGATAATAACAAATAAAAATTAAGTAAACAATTATTTAAATGTTTTAAGAAAGAAAAATATACCAGGCACCTGTGCATGCCCGGAATCCTGAGAGGAGAATGGAGAAGGGACGGTGGCGTGACTATCCCCGTCAGGGTGACTTCTCGCCCTCCTTCTCTATCGCTGGTACACACATACTCTATTCAGCAAAACTGAAAAACTGAGAAAAATCTCCTGAGAAGGAAATAAAGGTTAATTATCACTCAGACAGGCAGTACTGGTAACGGTCCCCATGTGTCGGAGATGTAAGCGAACCTACAGAGCAACAAGAGCTCTCCATAAACCGCATCCCCTCGGGGACACACAGAGACAGGACACCGCGCTTACGTCCCGGGGGGAGAGCGTGTCCGAGCCGTCCTCCCCGCAGTAAGCAGGCGTGTCCCGTGTTCATCCCGGTGCACGCCGCCTTCCCATCCTACTTGCTCCCTGGCTCTCTCTGGTTCCTTTATTTTAATTTTTTAAGAAAGATTTTGTTATAGGGTACATGCACTTGCCAGATACACAGAAAGGGAAAAATCCCCCCCCAGGGAAAATGGCCCCCCCCTTTTTTTTTTTTTTCCAAAGGGTGCATACACTCACCAGAGAGAGAAAGAGAAGTGACACCTCCCTCCTGGGGGGATGGCCATGCCACAATCCCGTCCTCCGTTCTCCTCTTGGGATTTTGGGCACACACGCACATGCACCCAGCGTGAGTTTTAAGTCACTGGATCCAGGAATTGAACCACGCTCGGCCATGTGGAAGTCCAGTGCCTTAACCACCACACCACCTGTTGGCATCATTACCCACCTCTTTTATGTCACTTGCTCACCTTACTGTTGCCACCTCTCAGTACCTGCGCAAGGAAAGTTGGTGGGATGAATGGGTTCGCCCTTGTACCCCACCACCATGGAAGCGCGGGGTGGGGGCCCCATAGGTGCCAGTGCAGGTTTGCCGAACGGCTGGAGAAAGGCTGGGATGAATGGGGATTGTCTCCGGAAAACTGCGGGCGGTGCTCCACTAAAGTCTAAGACCCCAGCCCTCCTCTGCCTTCACCCTCCCTGTCTGTGTGCCTAGCCCCATTACGGGTCCCCCACCCTCTGCTCTGACATCCTCTAGGCTCGCCACCCCATCCTTCTTCCTCTTTCAGCAGTCTCTCGGGGTCTGGGCACCCTCCTCTTTTACAAAATGACTTAGGCATGTCTGTCTGTCCTCTGAGAGGTTGAGAGGCAGACAGGGTCCTCAGGGTGCACTCCCCCCCAGCCTGGGCTGTCCTGGGTGGCGGTACTCACACCCAAACGCTCAGCAAGGCTTGGGCTCGGAACCCAGGACCTTTCCGTGGTGGTCCAGTTCTGTCACCACTGAACCGCCAGCGCCTGGCCAGTCAGCTCCAAGGGCCGCCCTCCCGGGTCCCCCAGGCTGGCACAGAAAGGGTGCTAGGAAGGGTGGGTGAAGAGGACCTGGCCAGGGCTGGGGGAGGAAAAACGCTTGCTTTTAGGGGCTCTCTGCTTCCTCGGTGGGGACAGAGCCTCAGGCGGCCCTGTCCCTCCCCAGCCATCGAGCTGATCAAGGACCTGGCCAACTATGACGTGCGCCCGGCCCTGCTCAAGGGGCTCATGGCTCTGCTGACACCGTCCGTCAAGAAGACCTTCCAACAGCAGCCCAAGATCCTCGCTGGTAGGGACCCGCCCAGAGGGGGTTGCCGGGCCGAGGGGCGCTGCCGAGCCGAGGGGGGCTGCCGGGCCGAGCGGGGCCTCCTGCCTCCACGCGGTCC